GCCACTGGAAGGCCACAACGTGGCGATTCGCTGAGATGATTTTGGGCTATTGACCTTAAAGGTTGACCTTTAATCGTTAACTTGTTGACTTAGGTTGACTTTAGGTTATGATTGTTGGATCTAGTGTGTAGACTAAGGTTGGGCCTTGTATGACTTGATAGGAGTGTTGTAGCATCTACTGCGGGCATTGAGTTGTAGTTTAGCTGATCTCATGAGTCAGGTGAGTCTTTTCGCTATACTATATAGGATGCTAATTGTCTTTGTGACTCTTGCATGTGTATGTTGGGCTAAGCCTATTTATTATCTGTTGGGTTGGACCCATTGATGTGTTGGGTTTGGCCCATTGTTATACACGTTGACCCATTTGTATGTTGGGTTGGGCCCATGGATATGTTGGGCTCGGCCCGTTGTATTGTATGTGGTATTTTGAGGAACTTACTAAACTTTGTGCTTACGGTTTGTAGTTTAAAGTTTTTGAAGTACTTCTAGTTCTAGAGGAAAAAACCCGACGTGATTGTACTGCATCTCCGAGAGTTTATCTCGCATTGGCTACTTGTGATTTTTACTCTATGTTTTGAGAATACTATTACTTTTTATTATCTTTTGGAACAAAATGAATGAATGGTTTAATTCAATAAAAATGAAATCTTTACTTGGTATTTTTGAGACGTTATATAATCTTTACAGAAGTAGTCCATAATAAAGTTAGTCTATCTAAATGAAGTTAAAGAAACAATCATCTATAATTGTGCACATTAAATACTTTTGATTTGTTATACTTTTAATCATAAATTAATAAAACACATTTAATAAAACATATTTGTAATATTAACAAAGGGACAGGAAGAAAGAAAAAAATCTATGGTATAGGTTTTTATACATATCATCTAAAAAGTGTTTGGATTGTAGGGAATCCGTAGAGGAAGATGGTTTTGATGTTTGTTTAATCGAAACACAATTTTGGCCTTCGAAATATCGGTTTCATGACACCTTTTCTTCTACGTTTTTTTTTTTTTTTTTTACCATCCTCTTGTAGAGCATAACAAAGGCTGTCTTTTATTCCTGTCCTTCATTAATTTCGCCTTCCATGCCTTTGTCAGATTTGCAGACATGGCACCAATATCATGTACAGCCCATCTTTATGTGCTTTTGTGTTTGTGTTTCGGGATGAAAACAAAACAGAGAGGCAATAGACTTCAAAGAGAAAGTACTAGGGAAAGGAAATAAGAAAACCATACGTAGATGGCTATACTTAGCAGCATTAGGAAATTAATAAAAAACTAATTCTAGCTAAAGACTAGATAAATGGTTAACTCTTATACCCAACGTGCTTCTTTTTACCCAGTTCTTTATTATTAAAGACAAAACATGCATAATTTTAATCAAATGAACCATGAAGACAACAATTTAATCAAGATTATCCAACATGTCGGTAGCCTTCAGCTCTTGGTAGCCGGTTGTAGCAATTTTCACAAATCTTGCGCACGAGCAATGATTACATCCGGATACAATCATTGTAATTGGTTTTGTCAAGTTTTGCCAATAAGACATGCCCTAGCGATCGAGGTACTCGTTAGGTTCATCTTATGTCTTTGATACCAGTTCGGGAATAACTTTATTGAAACACTTGAGGCAATATCTTTTATAGAAAATAATTCAAACTTACAGAAACATAATCAGAAGAAGAAAACAGGGGAATCTACCTTCTGTTTTTACAACCGTGTCGTACGTAGAGAACGTAAAAGCCTAAAAACTAAAATGCATGACAACTCCTGAAAATATAGAAAACTATTTAACGGCACATGTGCCGAAGAAACCACTGGAAGAAACTCTAATGGATAAGATTAATCTAGCAAGCCTTTTGAATCAGCATCAATGGTTAAGTGTGGTAAAGTTGAAGTTCGAACAAGAAGTCTTATGGCTTAATAAAGAAGAACTGAATCCGAAAGTTGAATTTTCCAGATCGAATAGCAGAAAATTGTTTTCCATCTGAAACGTTCCTATCACAATCCCATATTCACTTGTCGCACCACCATTAACAAATGCAAGACAAGCCACATCTTTCCTTACTTGTTGCAGGGAATTACTCGAGGATATTCTCCATTTCTTCCCACCTCGGAGTTTCAAAACTATATCCGGCATCTTCAAATTCGAAAGCGAATGTCCAATTCGATTCTTTAAACAAAAAGCAAAGGGTGCCACTGGCCTTGCACGGAGGATTCCCAATGTAGCAACTGAAAACATACGAACCACTTGCTTATAAATGTCTGCTCTAAGAATGGTGTAGGAATCAATCGTACTAAGCTTCGTGGTGCTTTTTGAAACATCAATCGACCTTCCCTTAACAGTTATCGATTTCACACCAATAAAATAACCAAAAGAATTGGTATTTTTTAGTAATGGAGTATAAGAAAGTAAACTTTTTAGATCTACATCTGACTTAGGAAGAAGATAATATGGTCCGCTCCCGAAGAACATAACCCCACGAGCAGACAAAGAGCTAGGCAAACATAGAGCAAAAGTGTTATTAAAAGGTTGAAATAAAAGAGCAGGCAATGCTTTACGAGATGAAGAAAACGCCATTACACCACTAACATTAGCAGGGAATGACTCAAACATAGAAGATGGAGCACATGCCGCGTTACCATTACTCGCATAGGAATCCAAAAAAGGGTTTTTACCATCACTTGCCCTGAACGTGAAAGTGTCATAGTTGAGTAGGGTTTGACCACATGTCTTGTTAACCGGGTTCACGACATTAACAGGGCATATGCAGTCTCCGGAACCAGGTAATGTCGAAGTGTTGGTTACTGGAAGACATGAAGGACTTTCATAAGAGTAAGATGTGCGAACATCTGTGCATGCGTAGTCTTCACAAGAAATCGGATGAGTGCAACCGAAGCAATTGCTGCTTTCATAAATCCAACTGTTCCAGTCTAAAGTGCAGTCATGCCATGTGAAAGGAGCGTCTATGTCTATAATGAAGTTTTTATATACGGCTGGTATATATACCCATATAGCAATCTCCATCTGAATGGTATAGAGTGGTGTAGCAGCATCGGCATGTTTTCTTAGTGGTGCAACTTGGGAAGTATAAGGATAAGGTTCTAGAAATTGTGCTATAGCTTTAGGTTCGTGGGAGATGAAGGCTAGAAGGAGAACAATTATTAGTAGATGAGGAACCATATTTGGATGTTTGATGAGGAGAACCATTAGGTTTTATAGAGATATGTAAAGAAGTAGTCGTTGATCCTCACATGCATGATACAACTCATAATCTTGAAGTATAACTGTATAAGTAATACAACATGGCGAAGAGTTGAATGTATGCATGTTACTTGTAAAAGAAGGTTTAGCTTGAATTTAAAAAGTAACTCGACTTTATGTGAAATCAAATCAAGATCAAGGACTTAGTCGTTGTGACCTTTAACAAATGATTTTTTATAAAATAATTTGTATGGTAATACTATACCGTCTTGAACAACCATTTCAAAAAGGGTATTTTACGTAAAAGTTACTACGGTTTTTTTTCATTTTAATGTTTACACAATGTTATTTTATTTTTTTACCAATTTAGCGTTATGTTTTCTTAGTTGTTGAAATGTTTGTCAGTTATCCGATCACTTGGTTGCAGTGACGTTCTCTCACTATTTGGTTAATTGGTTCTGATCGTGACATGAAGTGTCAAAGTTTAAAAAGAGGGACACAGAAGATACTAAAGGTGTTTGTTTTTTTAAAGGTAAAAATTATGAAGTTACGGATCATATTTGCACACATTCGTAGAAAAAAAAAAATGGATCAAAGATCTCCAATCCACAAGATGAAGATACTTTGTTTTTCATACATTTAAATCATTTAAAAAAATTGATTTTTTAATTTAAAATAGTTTATTTGTCAATTACATTTTATTTTATCGGTAGTTATCTATGATTTTTAAAAAAATTATTGCAAATTAAAAACATATTTATGCATAAATAAAATCAATTATTTGATTCAAACTGTTTCCATTTTGATATTTACAAAAATGATATATATGGGGTAAAATTCTTAAAATCATCTATAGGAAATCGTATGATCTAATTGCAATATATATATATATATATATATATATATATATATATATATATATATATATATATATATATATATATATATATATATATATATATATAGGATGTAGATCCGGTAAAAAAAAATAATTTTGGTACGAAAGTAAGAAGTTTTTTTTTCTACATATTTTTTTGACGAACAAAATAAATGAATCACTTGATGATTCATTTGTAAGAGGATTCACAAGAAAAAATTTTTCAAAAAAACATCTTTATGATTCATTTTTAAGTAAATTAAGAAAAAAATTCATTTTTATGATAATTTTAGTGAATAACAACAAAATCATCGTATAAATGAATCATCGAGATGTTTTTTTGAGACATTTTTTCTTGTGAATCATCTTACAAATAAATTATCTAATGATTCACTTTGTTTGTTCGCAAAAAAAATATGTACATAAAAAACTTCTTACAAATAAATCATCTAATGATTAAGGTGTTTAAAGTAATTATTGTGTTATTGTATGTATAAATGTGAGTCAATCAAAATTAAATAACTAAATAAATAAATCAGGGTAATTTAGTAATTTGTTTAGTAAGTTTCAAAAATAATCCCTATAATCATGCTTATAACCTAAATAAATAAGCGTGTCTTCAATCTCCTATCCGATAAAGCCCTAGCATCGGCGTGTCTTCAATCTTCCACCCCGATAAAGCCCTAGCATCAACGCTTTCAGTGTTTGGAAGATTCTCCTTGCACTTTCACTTCATGGGAGAGAGCACGACATATCAAATTTTCTTCAATTCTCCTTACAACTGATCATCACCAATGACAGTAGTGACGAACACGATGGCAGGCAAAGCCCAATACACGACTCCAACACCTCAAATCACCAAAAAAGATGATGAAAGCCATTGTTGGCCGATTCGAGAAGCTTTTTAGTAAAAAAGATGAATCCTCCATTAAATACGATTCATCAGATTTACCCACAACTTCATTCGACAATGGTGAGTCAACAGAAGAATCCGCCTTCACTACAACCTTCAAAGAATCAATGGAAACCATGGAATCAGCAGGCGAAGGAAAGGAAACGCCTGAAAGGTATGATTGAAGGTGGTGCAAAGAAAGGATTGAAGGAGAGTTTTAACCAATTTGCAGGATTGCTTGGTCAAAGAGTTAAATTCGTGAATCAGCTGATTGTATTAGACAAAGATCAAATGTTGGAGGCTTTGCTGAATGATCACCAATCCCATTGGGAATTGAGGGTGTGGTATTTTTGTAATTTCACTGTGTTTTCTACTGTTTTCATGGTTGTTTATGCTTTTGTGCATATTTTTCTATGTGATTCGAATCGGATTCAAGGTTTAGAGTTTAATGGGCTTGAATTTCCTGATAGTTTTGGTGAATTTGTTATGTGTGGAGTAATTTTCTTCAACTTGGAGCGCGTTTATATCATGGTTTCCCGGTTTGTCCAAGCTAGACTGAGTAGAGGTAAACTTTTCCTTTTGCCACTCTTCAAAAATTTATTGATTATCCACATGTTTATGCTCTCATTGATTGTTGACAGGAAACGATCATGGTGTCAAAGCTCAAGGTGATTGATGGGTGCTTACAGTAGCACTCATCAAGGGAAACAAGTTACCTCCATTGGATTGTTCAGGTTTCTTAGATCCTTTTGTAGTGTTGACATGTAATGGGAAGACAAGAACAAGTTCTTTCAAGCTTCAAACTCTCGATCCGCAATTGAATGGTTTGTTCAGTGTCAAAAGTTTAACTGATTTTATCAAGATTCCTGAAAATTGATGACAATTGGTTGCTAAATTTTTTGCAGAAATACTCGAGTTTGATGTTGCAGAAGAACCCCTGTTGTTATTGAATGTTGAAGTATTTGGCTTTGATGGTCCTTTTGGTCAACCGACTTCACTTGGGCATGCGGAGATTAGATTCTTGAGACATACATCTGAAGAATTGTTTCCATTCTTTTGTGTCTTTTCATTTTGCAAACAGGTAAATATAATGATGACAATTCTGTTGGAATGGAATCATGAATTCCAATTCTGTTGGAATGGAATCATGAATTTCAATTCTGTTGGAATCTAAACTACAATTTGGTTTTGTTTTCACAGAAGTTGATGCTTGAAGAACGGACCGGAAAATTGAAAGTGATTCTAAGCAACATTATTCTTTTATAATGTATTAGTGTCGTTGCTGGATTTTGATGTTTTCTTTCCCGTTTTAAAAGTTTTTGTAGTCTTATTCTTAACAATAAATGTAATTCTTAATAATTGATACCCATATTCTACAAGAAATAATGTATTTTTTGTTTTTATTCTTCAATTAATTGTTCAAGAATTTTTTATTCTACAAGAAGTTTTTAAAGTCATGATCAAGACATAGGTTCATGAATATTGTTATTATTTATGGTTTAATAATATTTTTATTTTTGAATATACTCAAAACCACATTCTGTCAGAATGTCCGAATTAAAAGAATTATAATTCATAAAATCGGATTTTTAAAATTAATAGAATCTATGATCCCTTAAAATATGAATTTTCCTTTATTGAATCTATATTAATTGACTAAAATACCCTTGTAATTAAATTAGATGCTATTTTTCAATTATATATAATTCAATAATATATATTAATCACTTTCTTAAAATAAGTAAAATTGATTGACCCACATTTATGCATATAATAACACAATAATTACTTTGAATAGAATAACCTAAGTATATATATATATATATATATATATATATATATATATATATATATATATCTTTATCTTTACTATATTATTAAGGATATTGCCAATTTCTTGAAAATTAAGAGGTATACATTTTACAACACCATGTACAATCTGTTAAGCTTACATATATGTATACACGCAAGTAAGGTACGGTCGTAGCTTCTTGTGGAAAACCCTAATACCCTCTAGACACTATCAGCCATCGTTTCTGCAAAAGCTTCTTCCAAATCTATTCCGTCTACCTCCTCACTTTCTTCAATCTCCGATAGACTTCCATTACCACCACCCTCCTATAGTCGTCGCTATCGCCACCCTGCCGACGTTGTCGTTACCTTTGGTCGTCGTTTTCCGCCCCGTTTCTACCTAGAAACCCTAACTCTATCTCGTTGCTAGCATCAGACACGATTAACTGCAAGACCTAACCCTAGAGTGTCCTCTCCATCGCCACCAGATATCACACACCATAAAAAATAAAAAGCCCAAATCATACCTCACGAAATGCTTACCAAGGTAGTATTTCTGTTTCTGTTTCTGTTCCATTTCATGCATCCTCTTCTTTCATAGTTACTGCTATATCTGATGATACTTTTTTTTGTTTGTTGCTTTTACACGGATATTATGTTTGAGTCTCAAGTTGGTGAGGATGACACAGTCCGAGCTTGGGATAATCTTTTGGGTAAATCTCGTGCATTGATATATTGCTTAAATCAAATGATACACGTAAATCCTCTTCTTTTTGCCCTATTTTTTGAATCGAAGATTTCTTAAAGTAACTTTTCATTTTAATCACAGAGATGGAATTCAAAACGCATGATTACAGAGCCGAAGACAAAATCTATTCACTTACCTGAATTTTGGTTTCTTCGCATCCTCTTTGGTCGTCCTCATCTTCGTCCTTATCACATACGCAGGTATGATTGCCGTCCTTTTCTTTGATTGGTTGTTAGATACTTTCCTTTTTTATTGCAATTTGAATGGAAATATCTCCAATTGCTAGGAGTTTCATTTTGATATTTGTGCAATGCAAAAGTTTTAATAATTTTCTATGACAGGATCATGGGAGCACCGAATTCTTTGATCCATTAAGGGGGCTATCAACAGAAACCTTGGAGCCAGTTGAAAATACGGTAGTTGCAGAAAAGCTTCCTGCTACCCAACCAACCTCTCATCTCTCTTCAAAGAAGGAGTGGACATCCTTTAATAAGCTACTAATGCAGAGATTTCCTGTCCCAAAAATGATTTCAGTTTCTTCGGTAAGTCTTGTAAACATCATGAAACACACAAATCATAATCAAAGCATAATAAAAGTTAAACAATTATGTTAGTAGCTTTTGCAAGTTATAACCTGGATCCTTTTCCACTACAGTTTTCAAGCAAAACCATAAAAGGCAGCAAGGGTATGGTGTATTACTAACTTATCTCTGTTTCTACCACCCCTACTCCTGGAAGTAACATTTTCTAATTTTATCAGCAAGTGGAGAACTATCATCAAATATTCAGTCAGATGAATTGAATGACTCTCAAAAGTTGAAGGAAGGAGGATTCAAGATTGTTAGCCAGCAGGAGTACATTAAATGGATGCATGGACTTAAACATGAGATCATGCGTTCTTAGCATAGGAATTGACAACTATTTTGGAGTTACTATTTCAGATTTGGCCAGGTTTTATCTCTCGCATAGGCACAAATGGATATCATCAGGTATGTAAAAAGGCTTGATTTTAAAACATATAAATTTATATTGACAATTATTTTGGGTTTATTATTCCATATATGAAATCACATTTTCAAGAAGAAGCATTAAAAGCTCAAGTTTTTTGTTTCATGGGGCAATCTTCAACTGAGTATACGTGTTAACCTTTTTTTTAATCAATTATTGCTTTTCTAAATTCTAATTTCAGGTAAATGATTTGCAATCTTTTGTGTAGGTGGTGTGTAGTGGTGAGCGAAAACAGGATCTTCCCACATGTGGCTAATTTTTGGGGTCAGGTGTTTGAGAATAAGCTATGCTCATTAAAAACATGTATGTATATTTATCAGCTTATCAAAAATAATTGTGTGATTCTCCTTTTGTTCACTCTATTAGTCTCTTTTTGATATGCTATTTGACACAAAGAAGGTTAAGGTATTATGTTTACCCCTACCGGTTATTGTTGTTTCATCTTTTGTAATAATTGAACCATATTATTGAAAATCTACATCTCAATGTTTCTCTCTCACAAAGATTCAAACCCAAAACATCTTCAATCTTTTACATTTTAAGTTTTATGATTCGATATATCATTCTCATCATGAAGCAGACCAAATGTAACCAAAATATTTATTTTCCTTGTAGATTTGTTGATTTCGGGATTAGAAGTAGTATGATATCCAACAGATTTGGGTTTTTTTTATAAACCTCCTTAGTACCCACACATGCTTTGAAAAATCTATTGTTAAATGGTATCTTCTCTTCATTAAAGGTGAATTCAATAATAGTAACATCCACATGTTTTTATTGTTTTTAATCCATTGTGTTTCAAGAACGGTTTTTGGTAGCAATGTTGGATCTACCTCATTCGATTTCGAAAAAAGAAAGCTACTTACTTGGCTCAAATTGGATGAAAAATAATATACAGTTAAGTTTTTTTTTCTTTTCTATATTAGTAATTTTCTATTTTCCATTGGACATGAATAATACCTTTTATAATATGTAAAGTTCTTTTTAAGAAAAAAAACATTTTTGTTACCATATATATATATATATATATATATATATATATATATATATATATATATATATATATATATATATATATATATATATATTCTATCAGGTGGTTTTGAACTCTTTTTTTACTTTGTTTCTTTGTGCTTTCGCAAATTCATATTTGTTTTTCATTTTTAATTACAAATATAATGTTTATTTTGGAAAAACTATTGATTAGTTTGTAGATTTTTTATGGATAGGTGTGGTAATGGTAATATTTCAAAGTTAGCCAAGTTCTTGTAACCAACAATAAGCCCAATGGATTAAAAGGTGAAAGGATTGATAATTTGGCCTCTGACTTTGGGCTTCATGGTCCAGTCATTAAGGGGAAATTTGGACCATTTTACCCTCGGAATGGGCATGGGTAACTTTCATCGCCGGTTCACTGCTTATTGCATGATTGATAGTTAAAAGATGCTAAATTACAATCTATGATGTTTTGGTTGTTTTTAGGTTACTCTACATGCAAGTTTGTTGGCTTTCCTCATTTTGGACGATATTGTCCTTGTCCCAGTTTCATCTGTTATGTTGACCCAACTTTAACAACCCTATAGATCTCCCTGGAATTTTCCAATAGCTGAAGATCAAACCTCAAGAACAAGCAGAGGAGTTGTCTACTTTTAATTTATTTTGGTGATTTTTTCTATTGCTTGTATTTCTACTTTCTGCAGAGTAACTTAGAGTAGCCGGCTGGCAAATTTTATTCATAACTTCCTTATGTCAAAGGAATTGGAGTAAAAAAACGTGACATTGACTAATTTTTTAGTTTGATAAAATCTGATGGTCAAATAATTGAGAACCAAATTGAAAGGGTGTTTATTTGTGAACTCAATGTAACCCTATCTTCATTCTTTTCATTGTATTTTGATTTTGAAGATAAAATGAGGATTATGTTTATTTTTTTAGTTTGCATTTTGTAGATTCTCATAGTAATGTTGATTAATTATTAATGTTTTACAAATCTAAAGTATTTTTTAATGTTAATTTTTGATGACAAATATTTTTGTTGATTTTTTTATTCTAACAAGTAATGTTGAATAAAACCAAATTGAACAGTAATATTAAATAAAATGTATGTTTTTTTAATTTAAAAAGACGACATTAAAATTAAAAAAAAAAAACAATACGACTTAATATTCAAAGTTAAAAACTATCACCATTTTTAATAAGATGATACAATATTAAAATATTAAAAATAAGCAATATTTGACATAATTTTATGTTTATTTTGTTACAATGCGAAACACCAAACCATAAACTCTAAGTCCATAACCGTAACTCATAAATGCGAAACACAAAATCTATACTCTCAAAGAAACTATTTGCTGATACACAACATATTCTGTATTTTGTGTTCTTTGGAATCGAATATGTTATTATGAAACATAAATGATATATTTTTACACAATAGATCCAACATAAATGCGAAACACAAAATCTATACTCTTAAAGAAACTATTTGCTGATACACAACATATTATGTATTTTGTATTCTTTGGAATCGAATATGTTATCATGAAACATAAATGACATATTTTTACACAATGGATCCAACATATGAAAACACCTATCCCATACACAAAAAACGATGAATACAATAAAAAGAATACATTGTTCGTAAATGAAAAACAAATCATTGAATTGAAACTAATCACCATTTAATTTTTGAAAGAAATTTTTAATCACTCGTTGCTTCGCGCGGGTAAACGGCTAGTGTGTGTGTGTATATATATATATATATATATATATATATATATATATATATATATATATAAAAGATTAAATTTGAACCACAAATATAGTGTGAATGTATGATCATTTTTGATGTATTAGATTCAAAGAAATAAAAAACTGTGATCTTAGGGTACATGTTATTAACATGGTGTCACATCCGGATTCCCAGCTATCTTATTTTAAGTATTTATCTTGAGTTTTAGGGAGGGACTCAACGATTAGGCGCTCAGACTCGCCGAGTAAGATCGCGAATTCTTGTATGGATTAATGATCGGACTCGAAGAGTCGATGCGTGGACTCTGCGAGTCCGCGATTTAAAGTGAAACCCTAAATCTCATGGCCTGAGCCCTATTTAAAGGCCCTTATGGTCGTCATTTTCGGCCACTACCCCCCTGTGAAAACCCTAGAGAGCAAAGAGAGCTTAGAGAGTATTTTGGAGGCTAATTCTTCATCCTTTGATGTGATCTTGCAAGAAGGAGTGGGAAAATCCAAGCTAGATCGATTATGGAGCTTGGATCTGTGTTGTTCACACTGAGATTGACGTTTTGAGGTACAAGTTCCTTCCCATTTCGTGTATTTGATAGATTCCTTGAATCTAGGGTTTCCATTGCACAATTTTGAGTTAGATTATGAAGCATATGAGGTCCTTTTGGGTATAGATGATAGATCTGGACCGTGAGAGGTCCAAAAGGTCCCAAGCTTCCAGTTATATGAGGTTTCATGTGAGCCTTGAGAGTAGAACCCCATTTTAAAGGTTATTTCTCCATTTTTGGTCTTATAAGCATTACATGAATGTAAAGTTTGAACCTTTACGTAACATTCGTGTGTTAGAAGGTTGGATCTACTAATTGGTGAAGCAGATCTGACCTTAAAAGATCATTTGAGTGTTTTCATGGGAGGAACTCGCCGAGCCCATAAGGTACTCGACAAGTTGAGTCGGGTCGCCCCGCGATTTGCGACTTATGATAACCTGTTGAGTGTAGGGTTGACTCAGCGAGTCAAGTGAGGACCAGGGGCGAAGAGGACATGCATGTACTCGCCGAGTCACACGAGTGCACTCGATGAATCTGGTTAAAGTTTGACCGTTGACTTTTGTTGATTTTTAGGGTTTGGTCAATGTTAGGGTCTTTGAGCCATGAGAGGGGTAAAATGGTCTTTTACCCTTCTGAGAGTGCTAAGAGAGGAATTAGTCTAGCCTTGAGGGTTGTATTGATTAGAGTGCTTATTCTATGTGATTAGGCAGAGGCTAGACCAGATTTTACCGAGTTCGAGATTTACCGAGTTACCCGAGGTGAGTCTTCTCACTATACTTTACCTAGAGTGGTAATTAGAGTTATGTGACAAAATATCTTGTATGCTATTTATGTGATTGTGATACATTGTATTATTCTATGTGATTCATGCCGTGTATGTTCCATAGTTTACAGAGTTAGATCCGGAAGGTTCATAGAGTTATGACCAAAGGGTCCACAGAGTTAGGACCGGAGGGTCCATAGAGTTATAGCCTCGAGTGGCTAATATGTGTTATATGTGGTATTTTGGGGAACTCACTAAGAATTTATGCTTATAGTGTTGTGTTATGTGTTTCAGGTACCAATGAGGATTGTGGGAAGGTGTTTGCATGATCAGTACACATATCAGGAGTTTTAATACAATATGATCTTCAGTTGTGTTTCTATGGATTGATATGTGATACAATGCCACACCCCGAAACCAAGGATGGCGGAAACGTCCGGGGTGGAGGACTTCGTGTATAGTATCATAACAACAATTACAATAGTGATTAAAGCAAACACAGCCAACATAAATATAATTGAAAGAGTTACATCATTGTATGAGCTTACATGTTTCCAAATCAATTACATTATGTTGACAAAATGAAATGTTTGACGCCTTAACGTCCCATCCTCAAAAGCACTTGATTACATGTTTAGTGATTTCCTGAGAATACAAATAGTTTTGAAAAAGTATCAACACAAAGGTTGGTGAGTTCATAAGCTTTTGAAGGTGATGCAAAAATCCTTTCCTTGTAAAGTAATGTTTGTTCGAGAAAATCCCATATTATCTTATGTAATGCATTCAAATCTTAAAAGTCAAGACCGAAATGTACAAGTATTTTATCATACTTAAGG